CCCTTGTATTTTCTTCTTTACTTTCTCTTCCAACTTACCCTTATCCCATTCTTATCTTCCCATGTTATTCTGGGTACTCCCCGCCTTATTTAATATCGGCATTTACCTGATCAATCTATCAGATTATGCCCACACCGTCATTCCCAATCAAAAGTGTGGTACCCTAGCCATAGTTTCAGGTATAGCTGAAATATTCTTTGTAATTTTAATTTTGTGTGCTAAAACTAAAAGTTTGGATAAAATATTATCTTATAACGTATTTTTTCACTTCTCTCCTTGTCAAGGTCCTCTACATCAGTGATTCTTAAAGTCTCACCCCAAACTACCAGTAGTAACATTATCTGGAAACTTGAAAACAATGCAAATTCTTGGGTCTGTCCCCAGATCCACTGAATCAAAAACTTTAGCAGTGGGCCCAGTAATCTGTGTTTTAACAAGCCCTCCATGTGATTCTGATGCATGCTAAAGTGAGAACCGCTGGTCTAGACTATTTTGCCTCCTGCCGCAAAATTGATTATATTTACCTAAAAGATTTCTTAGGGGGATGAGGTTGTGGGAAAAGTATTTCCCCTTTAACTTGAATAGCCATACTTCAGTGAAGGATGCCTGTGAAAGTATGTCTGTATGCTGCCTTCTCTGAATTCCAGGGCGAGATCATTCTATTTTCATAAGCTGCAGCTGGTAGCAGATACACTTTGGAGCCCCTGCTCCTGGCAACAGTGGCAGTTTTCCAGCCCATGCTGGCATTGCCCTCAGTGACTTCAAGAGAGGGATTCAGTCTCAAAATTAAGGCATCTAAAACTAAAATCATTAATCTCCCCTAATCCTATCATTCCTTTAGTACTCTCTGTTTCTTTTCACTGCATCACAGTTCTCCTAGACGCTTGGACTTTTAGAGTCACCCTTTACTCCTCCCTCTTCTTGGCTTTCCACATCCATTCCTGCCTCCTAAACCAGGCATTTGTGCCTTTGCATCAGGTGATGTCATAGTTTCCTAACCTTTCTCCCTGGCTCTATTACCTCTTTTTCCAATCTATCTTACTCACTACATATATATTAATTTTCCTTAAACAATTATCTGTCAGTGTCGTTCTCTTATTAAGACTCTGGCGCGACTGCCTGCAGACCAAACTCATTAGCCTTGAACTCCAGACTCTCCAAAATCTGATGTCAGTTGTACCTTTCCAAACCTCTTGAACACCTTCCCCAAAGGGTCTACTCTCTGTCTCCTAACTAAAGTGTCCATTCCTCCCCTTGCTCACGCTATCTGCTGAGTCAGGAATACCTTCACTCAACATGTCTACTTATTTAAAGCCTGTCCTTCCGTTAAGGTCTAATTCAAGTTTCTCTCCACATAAAGTCAACATTGATTATTTCAAGTCGGAGGGCTCTCTCCAGACTCCAAATTTCCATAGCCCTTTTGTTTCCACCTTTATCTTATATTTTTACCTTATGCATCGCTCCACATGCATTATTAGCAATGCGACATTACTAGCAGAGTGAGACTAGAGTCTGTGTTCTGTCAGACTTTGTGTTCTCAGTGTCTGCGTACGTTCCCTTAGCATTTATTTACAAGTGGGGAAAATCCACAAGTACTAAGTATTTAAGGAATTTTCAACATGTTTATATTTTAATGAGCTGTATTTGTAGATGTGTAATGTTGTTCTTGTAAGTGTAAAAAATAAATCTGTTATAAATAATAAGCCTCATTATTTTCACTGTTTTGACATCAAAAGTAGTATTAAGAAAACAATCCTAATATGAACATAGCTCAGCTTACTTCTGAGGAACTTCTGTAAAAATAGAAATCTATGAAGCCCATTTCTTTGGCATAAAAACCTTTTCACGGCACAGGTACGTATATGTTAGTCTTTCAGATCTTAGACATTGAACAAAATTTGGTAACATGATAAAGGCTTGAAAACACAGTTTTTTTGCCATTGCAAAACAATTAACTTTATTTAGTAGATAATTGAAGTAATTCTGCTATTTGGATTGAGAAAATAAGATTTTTAGCATGTATTACTTTATTAGCCATATTATTCATCGTTTAACTAGAATATCAAAATGTTTAGAATGTGATATCAATATTAATACTGTTTTATAACTCATGTTAATTTAACAACTAAACTAGGTTAACACTATAAAAGAAGAAAAATGTTAAAGCCTCATGATATACAATATAAATTTGTCAAAAGCCTGAATTATAGTTTTACCTTAAGGGAAATGCAGTTTTATAATATTTAAGAATATCACAAGACATAGAGTTAGTTAAAGAAATGCCTTCTTACAGATTCTAGTGGAAAACTAGTTTAATGAATGGATAAACAGTATTCCTAATTCTTTCATCAAAATATATATATCATTTCTAAAATGTTTAAATTTATACTGGTAAATCACTTGAAAACATTGATCTCATTTACAATACTCATTTGCATGATCAAGAAAGTACTTATTGAGGGTCTCCTATGTGCAATAATGCTTAAAGAAACTTCATTTTCACACAGGTATATTTCAATATGTACAATTTATTCACTAGGTCTGCAAGCACTTTCAGGATCAAAGTCCCATCACTGTCTATTGCATGGCAAATTCAAACCCCTCCGCAAACCAGCTCCTCTTGCTCTGTCCAGCTCCACCTCTCATCACCTCACCTTTCGCAGGGAGTAAATGACTTGCAGGCCCCTAGCTGTTCAAGGGCCACTTCTAAGTCTGTGCCTTGGAACAGGCTCTCCCTCTGCCTAGGTGCCTTCTCCACTGGAGCTGCCCCCACCCTGCCCCATCAGTTTGCTTGTTGTCTGTATTGTTTGTGTGGTGCCTTGCCGCTAGGGACTTGAGACGAAGAGTGCCAGGGGTCCTTTACCCCAAGGGTGTGAGCTCTGTGAAGTGCTCTGGCCCGTAACAAGGTCGCATTAGAGAAATGCTAAAAGAAGTTATAAGAAAATAGGATTTGTTTGACTAAAGTGGAAACTGTAAAACTTTTATCATTCATAAATGTAAACTTAGCCAGTATTTTCCTAGTGCTGCCGGGTAAACATTGAATATTAGACAGTCACTGCTTATTCTACTGAACACAAAATGTCAGCTTAGTTATCTGAAAGAGTAATCTCATCTGATTTACTTCTAGGAATGGAGCTAAGTACTTGGTCAGTTTATTTAAGTGGGAACTTTAATGTCTACTTTCACATGTTGGTACTCCTGGTCCCTTTCATATGATAAGGGGCTCATGCCCTCCATGAAACACTTTTTTCACAGAGCCTTGGAGACATCACTCTCTTTTTGTTTTTCTATCCCTCTGGCTATTTATCTCCTTTGCTCATCTCCCTCTCCTTCCTGACCTCCAAATTTTGGTGTATCCCAGTACCCTCTCCTCAGATCTCTTATGTTTTCTATTCACCTCACACCCTAAGTGATATCGTCCTGTCCTGTGGCTTTAAATAATTGTCTGAATAATGATGACTCTATATTTGGAGCCCTTAAATGTTCATCCCCAAGTGAATTTCTCCTAAACACCAAGCTCATTTACCCAGCTTCTATTCAGCATCTTCACTGGATGTCTCCAAGGTACTGGTCTATAACAAGCTATACTTAACAGGTCCAAAAGTGAGATCCAGAAGACAATTCCTCAACCTGCTCTTCCTTCAGTCTTCTCCAGTGTTGAGGTAAATACCAACTGTATCCTTGCATATCCTCAGGTCAAAAACTTAGAGTCATCCTTAATTCTATGTCTTTCACATCTGTAATGCAAAGCATCAGCCCGTTCTACAGAGTATATTCAGGCTCTGACCATGGCTCATGGCTGTTTCTACCATTCTGGTCCAGGTTACCACTTTATATTATCTGGAAAGTCATACTGGTTTTCTAATCAGTCTTCTAGCTTCCGTACTCATCATCTTATATTTTATTCTCAACGTAGCAGCCGGAATGCCCCTTTTAAAACTTAAGTCAAATTTGCTCAAAACTATTCAATGGCTTGTCATCTCATAGAATAAAATGAAGTCTTTAACATGTCCCACAAGGCTCTCTACACGTCTGGGATATCTCTCTGACTTTCTCCCTTGCTTGTTCATCTCTAACTGTCTTAGCCAACTCATCGTTCCTCATTCTCTTTCCTCTGGATTTTTGCTCCTTTTAATTCCTCTGCATGGAATATTGTACCCAAATACTTATACAGTGCACTCTTTATTCCAATGTCTGCTAAAATGTCACCTCATCAGAGAGACTTTCTTTATCTAAAGTATTTTAGCCTATTCCTCTATCACTCCCTTTCTGTCTCTTGTCTTTTTTATGTTATTCTATACTTATTCTCTTTCTTGATATATGCATTTCTCATTTACTCATTTACTGCCTGCTTACTACCTCTCTACTAGCATTGAAAAGAACAAGAGAACATGCTTGTTGTTTCCATTTACTGCTGTAACTTTAGCACTTAGAAGAGTATACAACACATAAAGACACTCAATAAATATTGAATGAAATAATGAAAGGAGATCTTATTATGTTTATATACTCAATATTGAATGAATGAATAATCTTATTACCTTAGCGTGTAACCTAAGTGTCAGTTCGCTGTTCCCTTAAATGTCACTCTCTTCCAGGGAGAGTAGAAAGGAAAGGCAGATGTCCTACATCCACACTCTAGTTGTCCACTCAGAATTTGACCCTTGGTATTCTAAAATCTTTGCGACACTCCCAGCTCCTCACTGAAAATGGGATGCTATTTCTTTCACACCATCTCCAGCAGAGGGGTGAAAATGAGGCTCATCACATTTCCTGTCATTTTATCATCTCTTTATCCTTTACTGAATTATCACACAAGACGGTGTAAGTGCATAAGATTTGACTAAATTTTTAAGGTAACAAAAATGACAGCGTGACAGAGAAATATTAAAATTTTACATAAAATATTTCTTTTTCCACAGTCCAGGAGAAAAGTATTTAAGTTGAGCACTTCACAGAAATTTCCCTATTCCTGA